CCTCTATTGTGTAAAACTAATACAGACAAGAAACAATTATAAAAGAAACTAACTTTTGCGTCTTGAAAAAGAATTGAAACGGAACAATTTCGTTTATAATTTATTACGGTTTAAATCAATAAATCAAGTAAAAATACGAATCCTATTTATATAAACAAACTGGGATTACCGAAGTAACTAAAATAGCTTAGATTTCCGTAATATTACTTCGTCTGATTCCGCAGTATGACAGAATCGCCCGAATTGTCACGATTGCAATCGGAAGTACATCGGCTATTATCATTAATCCGAAGAGTGACGGAAAAGGCCGAAAAGTTGCGATTGGCACAATTTCAGCTGGTTTCCCGTTCAATCATGCACTTATAAATGTAAGCAGAAAACCACCTAACCGGAACAGGTTTTCCAAATGAAATGGCTTGCAGCCGTGGCTGCAAGCCAATAACATAATAAAAAAATTTTAAGGTGCTATTCAATCATGTTGTGATTGCACAGGTACGATTTAATTACTTCGAAATTAATACCATTATAACAATTTTGAGATAGATAAGGAACTATAGATAAATTATAGTACATAACATAACTCTTAAATGATTAATGGAACAAAGTCATCGAACAGTATGTACAATCTTTATTGTATAATACAAAATATATCTTCCATTAAGTTAATAGTTATGATTTGTTATTATCATATATTTGTCATATTGTATTATGACACTATCCACTTATTTTTAGAGTTAACGAGTACAGTTATGATAGAAAATTTTATAATAAGTTTAAGTGGTCCGATGTGGTAAAGGGCTCATTTAATTGGGTATGAAATGTCTAGGTGCCGAAATGACTAGAAATCGGATATTTTAGTGGTGCCATACCTTTGCAAGGATCCCGTCGCACCGATTGCAAAAAGGAAATCTCTAAGTTTCAGGGGCGGAGGAATTTGTTGTCAAGAATTATTTCTTTGAACAAAAATCCCCTTTTTTTACGAAATCTGCTGTTTAAAAGTAGATTATTTTGTAATTTGACAGTTTTTATGTGTTACATGATAAATAGAAAAACATGCTACTGTCTTTTGATATCAATTTTATCAGGCTCGGCTGATATGGGCAGAAAGGGCTCGGCAAGCCTCGCCCTTTCTAGCCCATATCAGCCTCGCCTGATAAAATTGATATCAAAAGACAGTAGCATGTTATTCTCTATTTATTGAGCTAAGAAAAAGTAATGTGATAAGAAACGATTCCAATTTAGTAATCATAAACCAGTAAATTTACGAGTTAATGCTTAACATGATCATCGACAACGCAAATGTGTTGTTTTTACCAAAAATGTAAGTGTTTATAAGTATGGTGTGGAGCGTTTACAAAACATTTACTGGTGGATCTTTTTGGTAAATGTTGTCGATTATGAAACCTAAAATTACATTATGTAGCCAAACTTTTGCCCGGATGATGGCCTCAACCCTTCTCCTCATACTATACAATTGTATCAGTATTTTAGCGTCTAATGTGAATTTGAGGTAAATTTTGCCATTATTGATGCAGAACTAGTTCCAACAGTTGCAGATAGACTACAGGTGGTTCGTACCATTGCCTAAATAAAATCTAAAATTTCAATTGTGGTCATGTCAAAATTGAGGCAAAATGTCAGGTGTGAGCACGTGGCGGTTACAAACATTATAAAAAATTTGGCTTCATAATGTCATTTAAGGTTACGTAATGTCAACATTTACCAAAAATATCCACCAGTTAAAAAAAACCCAAAGAAAATGAAAAAATACATTTTATTGCATCAATGTATCTCATTTTTTTTAAATTTATAAGTATGTAATACATTAGTATGTTAAACATGTATAACATTAATAAAACGATCACATTTCACAACAATTACCAAAAACAACAACATTAAATTGTAAAGACGATCTTTGTAAATGACGGTTTTAGTCAGCAAAAAATAAGCAAAAAAAAACAACAACAACAACAACAACAACAAAAAGAACAGAACATTTGAGAAAAGCCGAACGCTGCCTTAAAGGGACTCGACTGAGGTTTTTTGACATGACGGGACTGGAAATTGTTTTTTTATAGATAATTACTCCATTTGATTTAGATTTATACCAATAACTTATGTGCAAAATTTCAGATCATAAGCTCGCTCCGTGTTTCCATAATGATTATTATAATAGTGAAAAATGACCCAAAATTGAAAAGTGTTTAAACGCTTTTCACTCAAACGGACTGAAAATAGCACAGACATACGATTTTTAAAAATATTTCTTATATATTTCTTAATTATATCTTATTTATATTTCTGTTTTAAGTGCTCATGTTTATCTACGTGAAAAATTAAGATTTTATGTTTTCAGGCTTATAAACCTCAGTGGAGTTCCTTTAACATTCAACCAATTGTGATAATTTAAATTCAAGCATTGCAAATGAAAAAAAAAACAACAGCAACAAGAGAACCAAAAATATGTTAGACAAAATGCGTTAAAAATCAAAATTAGCGTCAACAACGGTTTGCAATTATAACAATCTAAATACAAGAGAACAAAGTTCCAAGTGTTACATGAAAAAGACTAAGCAATTGTTTATCATACGATATTTAACTTGTTCTATACAGAATGTGGTATGATATAAATAAGGATATCAACCATTTTACAAAACATTAGATAGTAGCATTTGTAAAAGCAAAAAAAGGCAGGAAAAACAAATATTATACATGTAAAAATGGTTAAGAACAACAATCATATACTCACGTATATATACATAACAATTAAATAAACAAACATGCATCTAAAAATATTTACATGCTCTGTATAAATGTCTTTAAAATATGCTTAAGTAATCACAACTTAATAATAAAGCAATTTATTCAATTTAAATAAAACTTAACAAATCTTCATTTGATAAGAGATAAACAGAGATAATTCAAAACGAATGTATATATTTGACATCTAATGTCTGTTCCGGTACTCTTATGCTTGAAAATATGTCTGACAAGAATTTGTAATTTAAATATGCCCACTGATGTTCAATTTTAAACAAATCCGAATCCGAATGTCAACAGGTTGGTTTTTTGTACTTTCGGTTTCTACAACCATAATAATAAATATATAAATAATGTATTGTTTGATTTTGTACCTATGAATTCACTTATTTTAGGTAGGCTTTTACTACAGATATTGGAAATAAACTTGTCAACAACTCCCAGTATTAAATTACTATTTGTTTACATGTTTAGTTTCTTGGCGTAGGTTAGACCGAAATACCGCATCCGTTCTGTGTATTCATACTATTGTGTTCGAGGTCCTTATCCGAAGACCGACGGAAAGGGCCGAGTAGTTGCGATTGCTGTTCAATGATAACTTAGGAATGTTTTATATGTTGATAATTTGATATTTCCTGAATTTGTAATAATGTTAATATTTTTATTCCAATATTTAGAACAAACTTATTTGATATTTATATCATAGCTGGCTCAAACAGTCAATAATGAAAGCTCAATATCTTAATTTAAAGAACTTAAAATTAATTTTGAAATATGCATTGCGCGAATTTGAGAAATACAATAGCTAAACTAAGATTGTCTTCGCACCGTTTAAATATAGAGACTGGCAGACATAAAAACATTTTGAGATCGGCAATAAAATATACATTTTACAACGTTAACGATATTGAAGATGAATACCATTTTGTTTTATTTTGTCCTATTTGGTCTGACTTGAAAAATACCACGTTATTACTATTGGCATCATATATCGATCTGTTAAATACATGTTATACAAAAAAATAATACTTTGAATAGATTAGCAATACTTTTTAATAAACCATTTAGTTTCAGAAAGAAAAAGATGAATACTGTATTTTAATGATAATACCAAACCTTAAATCTGTATGCTTATATTTTTACTCTCGCTGTATTGAATATATGCTGTATATTTGTGCAATCACGAGGAACTGTTATGTTGAAGTCATATTGAATTTGTTCTGATAAAATTAATACAGGTAATAATAATCATTATTAAATTTTTACTTCAAGAAAGTTACATACATAGTTTAGATGGAAACTAAAATACATCTTATTTTAACTGACATTCCTACGGAAAAAATAAGAATAAAAAAGTAATTATTTATCTCAATAACAAAAATAAATATAAGAAGAGGGGAAAACTAAAGCATCAACAGCACAATACAAGTTATCACAAAATGTTAAATACTGGATCCTCCGTTCCATAATTTATAGTTTGATAATTTACATTCTATATTAATACAGATGATGTAACACATTGTAGCTATAAACGTTCGGTATTCGCATGCTTTTAATCAAAACGTGTACAAAGTAAATGCATAGATATAAATATAATTTGAAAGTTTTTCGTACTGGTAGAATTTAAAAGAAAGTAGTCCGACAAGACGCCAGTGAAAAAATGTTTCACTGTAGTGAAAAATAATTTTTACAGTGAAAATACGGGGAATGAAAATACATATTTTCATTCATCAATATTTCTCAATAGTTCATTTATAAGTATATAATGAAACACTTTATAATAAAGATATACAAAATATTTAAATACAAAGTCACACAAGAAAAGTTACATAATTGTGTAAGTATGTAAACAGTCACCTGGAAAATTGCTAGCTGAGCAACATAATTTGTGTAATTTGGACTGATGTGTACATTTTCACTTTAAATATGAACTTAACAAAACAAATTCTTACACACTTCATCAATCAGACAGGGCAATCAATAGAGCCCTTTCATTTAAGCGATAAAAGTCAGTGAAGAGTTACTTCCCTTACGGGATATTGAATGAGTGTCGATTCAATACAAAATTTATTGCAAAAGTTGAATAAAATGTTATGGGAGCCTCTGGCGAGCATGCTTTTATTTTATCCAACGAGTTCAAAATATTTAGTATTGCACCTACACTGATATAATATTCTATTTATCACAAACCCAAAATAAAGACTGTTTATAGTATAGTCGTTCATATGATTTGTTATTAATCACTCAGAAGGATTGATTCTATGTGCTTGTTCGACCATTTTTTTACATTTCGGGCATTCTGTTGTGTTTGTAATACAATTATCACAGACAACTATATGTCCGCATGGTATAATAACTATATTACAATGACGTCTCTGACACTTGCGACACCACAACCGTGATCTCGTGTAATTGTTCTCCTCTTCCAAGCTCTCTGCAAAAAAAAAAAAATCAATTAGCAACGTAACTTTTACTTCTTATTCTTTAGACAGGCATGTTTTTAATTATATTATTGAAATTTAAAGAGTTATTAAATCTTGAAACAAAAATAAAACGTCTATGGTATTCGCATGGAAATCATCGCGGCCTTGGAATGCACATAAAAAGCTAAAAGTTGCGTTTTATTTAAACACATCTTATAATTTATATTATGTAAATGTTCTTGCTTCTGTTTGAATGTTGCTGTTGTTTTTTATAATCGCGTGCAAGTTGTCTATGGGTTATACGGACTGGTCTGACAATTTAGTAGCAATTAGAACTAGTAAAAAATTGTAAAGTCTATTAGCAGTCTCCAGTTAATTTATATCTATTTAGTTTTAAACAATCCGCAGAATTGATCATACATGTACTTACCTGTATTTGTGACAGTATTAGATGCAGGACTAACATCATTTGCCAAGTTACTTTCTATTTGGCAAGGAGGATGTGGCATCGCTCTCCCACAGAAAAAGGTAGTGCCTAAAGTTGTATAAACATGCACCTGCTTGAGATCACTTAAACATACAATGTACATTACTCAAACTATCTGTGTAAATTTTACATGAACTTTTTTGTTTACTATCAGACCACTTTACATGTAAATTGTTTAAAAATTCTGATATTTACGTTTTAAAGCCAAGTTCTTGCTAATGTTGTTATAAGTTACCTGTCTTGAAAAGAAATAAATGGAAGTAAATAGATCTAATCATATAATCAAGTTACTAAAAAAAAAGCATTCACGTGTTAAAAAGATCTGCAGACCTTTGTACAACTTCGAACTTCATTGTGAGATGTCAAACAAAACTCTGGCCTTTGGTTATCTTATTTCAAATTTACCAGATGTTTAAAAAAATCAGGTTATCGCATTTAGAAAATGATGTACATTATTCGTATCACATAAACAGTTCTATTCTTACCGTGTGCCTGTTTCCGGTTTACATCTTCCTTTATAGTTCTCTGACCATTCTCTGACTGGCGGCTTCCTATCATCACATTACAAAACAATGTAAAAAATTAAAATCAAATTTTACTGTATTCCATATATATGCAGAGATGAGAAAGGAATAAAAATGTGATAAAAGTATACACTTATTTTTTTTATTCAAAGCAATATGTGTCCATGATATATGTAAACCAAATTCATCATAGACAAGTATGTTCTTTTATATTCTTTGTCTTTTGAAAACATGTTCCCTGTTGTCACATAAGACACCCCAGAAAAAAGTAACCATTGAACGAGCATATGAATATGATCTTTCTATCGCTATCCCTTTCTCTGTTGTCACAATAAGTAAACCCCAGAAAAAAGACCCAATCAATGGGCATGCTCTGGAGTGCAGATAACTAATTCCTGCACTCCAGTATATGCATGCATGTGCATGTATGGGTATATGATTTAAAGATCCTGTAACCTTTAATATCATAAATATGATGCTCAATTTAAGATTTATCAATTTTGTAAGTTTCAATAAAGATATTACCGAATTTAACATTTCATGTAAATAAAAGGAGATAATAAGAAAAATGTTTTCTATAAAGTCTAAGTCAAATCTTTTAATTAGAAATGAATGCATATATTTTAATGATTACATATTATATGTACAAATATTTGCAGTACATATTTTACATATTAATCTATTTTTGAAATGTTTTTTATAAGCATAATTATATACATATATATTTTCACTTAAGTGTGGTATACAACCTCAATTACAACATACAGGATCTTTAACTCTGGCACGTTGTTAAGAACTAAAAAACAAGGACATGATGTTTAATATGACATATACCTTGGATCTGCGAACCATTATGTTGACACGATGGATGATCTATTGTACGTCTATGAAACACACCTGTGAATTGCAAACAAGATTAAATAAAGATAATGGTTTTTAATATAGAGTTAATGGCTGCAGATCGAAAGATAATAAATCTGAGGCTTACTGCAGATGTTCATGAACCATTAATTTTCTCTTTCCTGCACACGTCCTATTGGTAAAATACAACGTTATGTTTTGATAATGAAACTAACGGGGCCGCCATTGCAATAAGCTATCCTGAGTCACGAATATAAAAACATGAAAAAGATGACATGTGCTCATGTGATTTTATCTGTATACATATATATTTTTTCTCTGTTAGTGTATACCTGCGTGCTAGAATAAAATTTGATGTGATCCAATGAAAAGAGTACCATAAAGACTCACTAGTGTTATGCAAACGCAACACAAAAAAGAAAGAAAGAAAAAAGAAAGGAAATCATAATCATTATTACTAAAGTTTTTTAAGATAACAGGCAAACTACAATAATTCAAAATAGCCGATCTCTGTCAATATAGAAAAGTGATATGCGCAGACTTTGATTATATTTCAGATATTGAAGGTCTAACTACCTAACCCGAATAGTATTAGTTTTATGTAACGAATTACTATTACATGTATGTATATTAAGATAATGACACCAAATTACTTACCAGCATTTCTGTATCCACAAGAATACTCCTGCAAAATATGAAACTAACTTTTAGCCATTGTTTTCCCATCAATTATCAAATAACAGATTTTCAAGGGTGTTTTTGTCTACTTATGATTTTTCTTTAAACTTCATAGTCATTTTCATTAAAACAAAGAAGAAGTCTGTAAACAATATGATAGAAAGTTTGATACCTCGCTGTTTTGTACAGATGTTGTGTCATGCAATTGGTGGGCTTCCACTTGATGGTTAGGGCTGCTTTCTGACAATGAAACTACAGTATTTGATTGGCCGTTTTGTGATTGCAGGCTTGCATTCTGTCTAACAGAAATGCCCTCATCGTCTTCTTCCTCTCTATTTGTGACAATGTTATCTGAGATAACCTGAAAACATCAATCAGGTTTTAAAAAGTTGATTTAAGTAAGAAGTTACTTTTTTACGCAGGTGTTACATCTTCCATATTTTGTGGTAAAAATAGCACAAAATATGTCTTGAGCTGTAAATCAATAATTCAATCTAGATCGGATGTGTACGTGCGTACGTCTTGTTTTGACCCTTTTTATCAATATCCATCAAACACTTCATGTACGATCAAAGATATTACTTTAAATGGTAACAATTGGACAAAATTGCATGCCTATTACATTAGGAAAATTTAATACAATATATAAAATCTTCAAACATGTACGTAACTATTTGAACACATCAGCAAATAACACGCAATATTTAACTATGTTTATCCCGAAACTGTTACAATTTCAAACAGATGAAATATCGTTAGCAAGTACCTGTTGTGTCTCCCCGAATCGGATAGTGTATCTCGTGAATCTAAAACGTATCTGTTGGAAGACTGATGAGCTGTGGACATAGTGTGAACGATTTCTGTTAGCAAGAAGTATACTGTGGGCGGATTCCCCATATTGCGACATTGATGTTCCATCATGACGATGCTGCATGCAATTTGCATGGTGACCAATTGAATGGGAAGACTTGTAAGTATTCCTACAGGAAAAACACCTTATTCTGCCATCAATATCATTGTAAAATCCCCTAGCCGAAAGCCTTAGTACTTCCCCAAGTTCATAACGGTCCGGGGATAAACTAAATGTAGCCAGTCTGAAATGTTCATCTCGTAAATGAACATCTTTCAAATGTGGTGTCTTAAGAATATGTTTGATGAAACGTTGATCTCCAGATGAATGTAGCAGTTGCGTACTTGGAACGCCAAGTGCAAATACGAAGCCATAGGTTCGGCAGTTTGATGTAACCAACAGCGATTTTTCTAGGAAAAGATCATCCAGCTCGGTCTTTAGTGAAGCAGTCTTCTGTGAAAGTGACAAGTATCCTTTTCCCATGAAGTGAATTGACAAGCACTTCTTTAAATAGACATATTTACTCTTATTTCTCAGTTCTTCAAGTCTATTCGCGATTCCTTGATCACTAACATTTCTTTCTTTACATTTAAGCGTGTTGGCAAACGTTTCCCTGTCTTCACCTTTGATTTCATCCGTCTTGTTCAACAATGGAAATACATCTTCACTTTTTCCCCGTGTGATTGTTGAATGTGCCGTTACATATGAACAGTTTTTCCCTAAACTTGTGTTTATCTTACAATCGACGGGCACATTTTCCCCTGTTTTTCCCTCGACATCATTTTCCATATTTTCCTCGTCAAATCTCTCTTTTGAGGCATTTTCATCACTAAGCCAACTTTTACAATCATTAATTTTGCTGCTTAAGCAATGCATACGTTTCTCAATATTTTTATCGATATACTGTATCATAGCTTGTTCATCCACGTGTCTGTGTTTTGTAGCATTTTTATTTCCATGCTCTTCTGTATCTTTTTGTTCCGTTTCTTCGCTATACTGAACTCCACGTTTAGTGTTTTGTTTATCCGTTTCGGATAAACTGGCTTCAGAATGCACCCTTGCTGGCAATGAGCTGTCACTCTGCATTGTTTCTTGGTAGCCTGGAGAAGTTTTACAGCTGCGTTTTTCATGTTTACACTCTTTTACTCTTCTCTTTTTTTCCTTTTCAATATCTGAAAGTATTTTCTTATCATCGTTCTTCTCATTCTCACTTTGTTCTTTATCTGGCTTGGAATGTTCTTGACCCATGTCAGTTTTCTTTTCTAGTATGAAACTGTTCAGAAGAGTTTTGAAAGCGCCAAGAAGACGAATACTTTTAAGCTTATAACTTTAGAATTCATATTATAAATTTTCTTTTATAAGATGATATCTAGTTCAGATTCATTGTATTCGAGACCTTTCAGCATAGTAGTTGATTGTCAGCTTCTGGTATCTATTGATTTGTAGAGGATGCTGTTGAAAGTAAACAAAACAGACACAATTGTAAAAAAGACATAAATCTAACTTTATTATTATATATCAGCTCGTTTGATCAATGTAAAGCATATATTATCTGGACTAGTCGCAAAGTATTCTTAAATTTTGGTGCAAATCTATCTCATGTAAGTATTTAATCGTTATAGCCACATTTTCAAATATGACAAATTAATCAAAATCATAAAGAAGTGATATACCTATCAAAAGTAAAATAAAATTCTTATATTTTTAATTTTGGTGAAAAAAAAAGCAACTCGACTCTTTAATAGGTAATAAATTATATTGCTTTAGTGACATTCATTTAAACAATGAATGATTATGTTGATATTATTTAGTATCAGATATAAGACCAAACCAAGAAAGAGTTAAATATGAAAGTTGTTGGCAAGTGTGAGATACATGATCCAATATAAAATATATTAACATAGCAGATAATTAATTGTTCTAGAACAGAATATTATTATTCATCATATATAAATGTTCATACTGAATCATTCAGAACATTATCAACATTTCTTTTCAAGCAATATTTTATAAGAATACCCATATAATACATTTTATTGTCATTAATATTTGAAATACTTATATGCCCATTGAAGACCAATCCAATAAAATGTGTTTTATAAATGACAATGTTACAAATAAATTGTGTCGGTAATTTGAGGAAAACCTACAACGGAGTTTGAGACCGTATAGGTGTATAGGTCATCATTTGAAATATTTTAAATTGAACTTCAATCCAGCGATGTATTAAGTGTCCGGGTACGGAAATCTGGGTACGGAAAACGTAATTATTTGTTAATGAGAGAAAAAAAAATCTATAAACCTGATGACATTTGAATGACTGCTATAAACAAAACCACCTTGTCTTATAATGTAGTTATTTACCAGCATAATTTCTTGATGTAAACTTTAAAACGTTATTAATTTGTTTGTTTCAAGGTAAACATTCTTTATTAAAGCGCTTTAAACATGAAGTCATAAATATCATTACATATTTCAAATATTCACATTTAATCAATAATTTTAAACTTTTGCAAACAAGTCTGAACTTTATAATTTAAAAGAACTTCTTATATCTGAACACATTTATTTATATGTACAATCTATGACAAACCGGTTGATATCAGATTACCATCGGCATAACAGTAGGCATACCATAATTATCCGGTGGTTGAAGACTGGTTTACTATGGAACGCCTGGACTGTCTTATGCGTAGAATGACTGATATACATGGTTAAATGTCATTCTGTTGAGTCCGAGATATAATATGCTGGGTCGAAATCCCAATATACTGGGTGGAAATCCAAATGCGCTCAGTTATTGAAGTGTAATGTTGTGTGCTGATTACATTTTATTCAGTCAAGTCAATGTATTGTCGGGTGCATTAGTCGTTCTGTTCAGTTCTTAAAACATACAGGCATGTGGTAACACAATTATGTTGAGTTAAAAAGATATGTTGTAGGGTGTGACAGTTGTTATGTTTGGTTAAAATAGCTCTTCTCATCATGTTCAACCATGAAAATCAAAGGTTGAGTGGTACTATCATTTCGTTTGGCTGAGGCAGTGTATTATCAGGTCTAGGATTTCATGATATTTATGGACTGTCCGTAAATTTATGGACAGTCTAGATATTTAAAGATTTTTCAATCCATAAATTTACAGATATTCAATGTGAAATTTCCTGTTTTTAGTTTTACAATAAAATCCGCAGCTTAAGACAAGTTGTTTTATTGATTGTTTATATTTACAAAGGTAATGGGGTGGGTTTCATCTTTGTATGATGATTTTGAAATTTTTGTTAAAAGTGAAAATTGAAAGTCATCAAACTGTTCTGAATCTTAGCATACTGTTACATTTAATCATATAATACCTAACCTTATTCATTTTAACCTGCGGTTTTAAATTTTAATGCAACTTCTACTATTTTCATACTTAAGGTCTGTAAATTTACAGACAAAAAAATCTATAAAATTATGGATCGTCCAAAAATTTACAGACTGTCCGTAAATATCATGAAATCTTAGACCTGATTATTGGGTGATACTTTTATTATTTTCAGTTCCAATTACATGATGCTGGGTGCTTTATTCAGACTGTTCAGTCGTGAAATAGAACTGTTGAATAGTACAATCATTATATTCAGTTCAGATGATATACTGTTCGGTGCAGAGGTTATTATGTTCAGTAGTGAACACAAACTGTTGTGTGATACTGTAGCAGCAGTAAATCAAGAAATAAAACAACGCAACAGCCCTTTTAGTTCTTTACTTCACTGAAGATCCGAAGATCTACGTCAAACTGCAAATAAACAGTTACAAAAATATAAATATGTTATCCAAAACTAAATTATCCGAAATATGGTTACGCTCAATTCAATAACATCCCATACCGAATAAACGTGAAAATTTTGTCTTAAATCATTATAGCAAATAAAGTTAAGGGTGTAATGAAGATAATATACCTCTATTTGGGCTGTAAAAGACGCAACGCAGGTTGAAATTACAAGAAATTTCAGAGAACATGTGGTCTCGTCACAAACGTTTGTGCTACGTATTGACAAAGGGCGCAAAAAACAAAGGGGAGTAACTCCGCGACAACAAATAATCGAGATTTCCTTTTTGCAATCGGTGCGACGGGATCCTTGCAAAGGTATGGCACCACTAAAATATCCGATTTCTAGTCATTTCGGCACCTAGACATTTCATACCCAATTAAATGAGCCCTTTATCACATCGGACCACTTAAACTTATTATAAAGTTTTCTATCATAACTGTACTCGTTAACTCTAAAAATAAGTGGATAGTGTCATAATACAATATGACAAATATATGATAATAACAAATCAAAACTATTAACTTAATGGAAGATATATTTTGTATTATACAATAATTAAAGATTGTACTGTTCGATGACTATGTTCCATTAATCATTTAAGAGTTATGTTATGTACTATAATTTATCTATAGTTCCTTATCTATCTCAAAATTGTTATAATGGTATTAATTTCGAAGTAATTAAATCGTACCTGTGCAATCACAACATGATTGAATAGCACCTTAAAATTTTTTTATTATGTTATTTTCATTATTGTTAATTGATACGTATGTCAGTGTCAAATACCACAGTAAGTGGTATGCATATCAAACAGATCTATATCAATTTATATCTATATCTATATCAAATTACCTACGTAGTTTTATTTTTTTTACATTTTATTGCATTTTTGTTTGAAATATGAAAACGTGTTATTTTCATTTTATAAATTAAGAAGAAAAAACACCTTAAATTATATTGTAAAAGGGTTAAGGGGCCGAAAAGTCCTGTTTGCAAGTATCCCGCTCTGTCAGTTACCGGTATCTGGAACTTTCAGCTCCTGGACGTTTCTGCCCTAGTCTTTTCACACCCTAGGTCATCATAGCATGTGGGATATGATAGATATGATACAAAAATGGAGGAAGAATTTTCAAGTTTTTCACAATGCCTCCAGCCAAATCTGGTAATATATCGATGGGCGTTCTAGATATTTCATGTGGCAATCTTTAATACTGTCTCCAGCCAAATCTGGTACGTAAAGAGATAAGCGTTCTAGATATTTCATGTGGCAATCTTTGACAATGTCTCCAGTCAAATTTGATACATATAAATGTAGATATATGCGTTCTTGATATTTCACATAGCAATCTTTGGCAATGTCTCTAGTCAAACATGATGCCTTTCGAGATAGGCGTTCTAGATATTTCACGTGGCAATCTTTGACAATGTCTCCAGGAAAATCTGGTACAGATAGAGATATACGTTATTGATATTTCAAGTGGCAATCATTGACCTTGTCTCTAGTCAAACATGATGCCTTTAGAGATCGGCGTTCTAGATATTTCATGTAGCAATCTTTGGCATTGTCTCCTATCAAAACTGATACATATAGAGATTTGCGTTCTTGATATTTCACGTAGCAATCTTTGGCAATGTCTCTAGTCAATCATGATGCCTTTCGAGATAGGCGTTCTAGATATTTCACGTGACAATCTTTGACAATGTCTCCAGACAAATCTGGCACATATAGAGATATGGGTTCTTGATATTTTTTGTGGCAATCTTTGACAATGTATCCCGTCCAATCTGGTTAAATATAGATATATACATTCATGATATTTCATTTAGCATCTTTGACAATGTCTCCAGTCAAATCTGGTATATATATAGATAAACGTTCTAGATATTTCATGTGGCAATCTTTGACAATGTCTCCAGTCAAATTTGGTACACATAGATATATGCGTTATTGATATTTCACGTAGCAATCTTTGGCAATGTCTCTAGTCAAACATGATGCCTTTAGAGATAGGCGTTCTAGATATTTCACGTGGCAATCTTTGACAATGTCTCCTATCAAATCTGGTACATATAGAGATATAAGGTCTAGATATTTCATGTGGCAATCTTTGACAATGTCTCCTATCAAATCTGGTACATTTAGAGATTTGCGCTCTTGATATTTCACGTAGCAATCTTTGACAATGTCTCTACTCCAACATGATGCCTTTAGAGATCGGCGCTCTAGATATTTCACGTGGCAATCTTTGACAATGTCTCTAGCCAAATCTGATACATATAGAGATATGCGTTTATGATATTTCATGTAACAATCTTTTTAAATGTCTCCAGCTAAATCTGGTGGTACATATAGATTTATGCGTTCTAGATATTTCATGTGGCAATCTTTGACAATGTCTCCTATCAAATTTAGTACATATAGAGATTTTCTTTCTTGATATTTCACGTAGCAATCTTTGACAATGTCTCAAGTCAAACATGATGCTTTTAGAAATAGGGGTTCTAGATATTTTTCTTGTGGGAATCTTTGACAATACTTCTTTCAAATCTTGTACATATAGAAATATGCGTTCATGATATTTTATGCAGCAATCTTTGACAATGTCTCCAGCCAAATCTGGTACAGATAGAGATATACGTTATTGATATTTCAAGTGGCAATCATTGACATTGTCTCTAGTCAAACATGATGCCTTTAGAGATGGGCATTCTAGATATTTCATGTGGCAATCTTTGGCAATGTCTCTAGTCAAACATTATGCCTTTAGAGATAGGCCTTCT